ATTACGAATATTCAATCCGGAAAATCTGTTTGTCCATGGATTATGGATTTTACTCTCGTGGCATTTATTGTCTCTTAGATTTATCCTAGCTGCCATGGTATAAAAACCTCTTTAAATAATGTTCAATTGTAAGTGCGGGTAGGCTGAGAAAAGAGATAGTGACTAGCCAGTTTAATGAAAGTCTAACCAGGTCTGAATTTAGAATATTTTCAACTCCAATTCTAGTATGAGACTATTAACTGAGAGTACGACCGATAGTGCATTCAAACAATATAATAGATATTTCCTTTTCGTGCGTCAATCGTGCGTCAACTATCCACTGACCGATTATTAAGTGGCCCTATATTAACTTTAAGTGTTTTGCCACATTTTGTAGTCTCTGGCGGCACTTTGACCTCGCTGAACTGAAAGAATCAATCATTTTCAATCAGCTTAACTTAATTCTACTACTTTGATACGACGTCAAAAAAACCAAGCTATCTCCGCGTTCTGCGCTGAATATCGATTATCTGCAATATCAATGCAAAATGGTCCCATTACTTGAATTTAATGGCTCAGTACATACTTTTACTACCATTCCTAAAGGCTAGCTAGCTCAATTGCGTTTATGAATTACGTATATTGGTATAAGCATATTGGTATAAGTATAACGAATCGAATTTACTGTTCTTGAGTCTTGCAATGTAACGCAGTTATTCTTATATCATGTTGATACAGGGACAAAAGGATTTCGCGGCATGTACGAAATCGCGAAATTTCCCATTCTCCGCGACAAATTTTATGTATAGTTTAATGTATAGCCTGTTCAATTTCGCGATATCGCGAAATTTGGCCAAAATAATCGCGAAATCCTTTTGTCCCTGTGTTGATATATAAGCACTAAGCAGTGTGGTACAATTACCACAAATAGTAGGCTAGTTGATCGGCTGATATATATCCGTCCCTGAAAGTCCCTGTCTCCTCGTCGTTAACCTGGCGGGGTTGCACCAGGGGCAGTGGTAGGAGAACTTCAAGACTCTCGGAGTCTGTTGTCGATATCTATGTTTAATATATTTATGGTATATAACTTGGGAGTCTCTCTCTCTCTAGCAGTAGGAGTTGGAGAATGAGGATGCGTTGTGAAAGCCACCGTAAGAAAGGCTTACTGTCGACGCCGACCAATCAAAAAAAGATCGGCTGATATTTCCTATCATTGTTCAATGTTCAAATGAGATTCTGATCATGCTGTTTAGTTGCTGTTTTAGTTGGTTTTTTCACATTTTTGAAAATATTTCCTTTATTTATTTCTAACTGTTGTTATCTATTTTCTATCTACTTCTATAAATTTTATCTGTTTTCTAATATCTACTAGACTAAGCAGGAGTTTGTAGACGTAACATTGTTACCAGCTGAAGGGTGTTTCTTTCACTGAGTATCAGATTTTTAAAAAGGAGTCTCGACATTGTTGTTATACTTTATTTTTAAGATGTGTTATTGACCGAAGTTTAACTGTTCGGTTAACATGTGACAGCATTTTTCCTTTGTAAAAAGGCACAACATAGAGACAAAGCATAGCCATCATAATTACTAAACCTCAACAACTTCTTTAACTAAAAGTAATAATGAACTTTAAAAATCGAATAATTTCATCATTGTTGGATAATATCAGATATTATGTTACATCAGTGATGAATATGCTTCACCTACTGTCTGCTGAAAACTACGATTAAATAATCCTGGATATGGTCTGAATCACTTTTATGTACTGATGACGATTCCATCTCTGAAGATGAACAGAATTATATTTTCTGCTCCAGTTTTGTCCTGTCGTATTCTTACATATGTGACTTCGAACACAACGAAAGTTCTTCCCCACTTTTCCGCTTTAGCTACAATTTCTGCACTTTAGTGTTGATTACGAGCCTAGATTACGTTGTAAAGACAGCGGATATCTTGATTACAGTTATGAAATTGCTTACCATGTTATTAAGTTAGTCTTTCTGCCTGGTTGGAGCTCATAACCCACGTACCTGTGCTAAGTAAGTAATTGATTGATCTTTCTCCTGCTTACGTGGACTATTATAGGGGAGTATAATATAATATTTGACCTTACTTCCCATTGCAAATCCCGCTGTCTGCCTGGTCGTGGGGTCATTGGGGTGAGAGTCGTCGACGTTCTGCTAAGGATCCCGTAGGATATATGCAGCCTCCCGGTTCAGCCAGCCGAATGCTCGAGAAATCGTGTGTGAGGGTTAAATTGGGAGCTGTGCAATGTAGTACAGCGAAAATCAAAAACTTTAATGGGTGGTTACCGTAACATGGGTACCACATGCCTAGCATGAAATATTTAGCTACTTACTTGCACTTGTGTAGGTCTATAGAAGCAATAGTATCGTGCGTTGCCTCATTGTCTGCTATACAGGCTATCCCGAAACTATAAGCTTGCTTTAATAATATAATACTAATTACTTCTACTAACATAATAATAATTACTTCCCAATGACTATAAGTATAAACATTAAACAAGGAAGATTAATTCGTTTTAGCTCAGCGTCACGCGTTATTAATGAATTTATAAATTTGTTTCTTTGACTTTGAATCAGAATAGTTGTCTCGACGTTAAATAGTTGTCTCGACGTTAAGTTGTTAATGAACTACTACCGCGCTGGTGCAAAACTTAACCAACTGTTATTTTAAAGTTAATAACAAGTATTAACTTGTACATTGTAGCACCTTCAATACAAAGACAAAATACCGAACCATAAAGGGAAAACTTGACCAGTCATGTGTTTATTAAAGTCAGCAGCCCATCACAAGTAACCATGAACTGTAAAGATTGTATCAGAGTAAAACTGTCTATCTTCAATGATATTTGTAATGCGGCTACCCTCTTTTATTATTACAGCGCTTAACCTTTTTGAGCAGTCTACCATGATGATTATGTTTATAGTATTCACTATTAAACCCAAGTTATATCTTGTCTGGCTCATTAACCGTCTTCCAAAATATCATTTCTTTTTGGTACCACTTCGACCTTGAATTGTTATTATGAATGATTATAATACTCGAGATCAGTTAGTGATATCTTAAACCGTGAGTGACAAGGTAGAAGAAATGGCCCTCCTTTCACTACCTCAAGTGGGTATAACAGGGCTAGACCGTTACTCTTAGGGCGATTGACACCGCGTTGAATTGAAGCGATTAAACAATAAAAATGTTGCTGATCATTCATCTAATTGTTTGAACAGAAGTGCTGGTTATTTCTACATTAACTGCTAGACATGTTTACAGTCAAGTGCGTTCTGTAAACTAGCATTCCACATATTGTATTCTGGTTAGTAATTATGAAGTTATGAGTAACTCTGCCTTCTCTACCCGACATATATATTATGTATGTGACAATTCAGAACCAATTTGACGGGCAGATTTGTGGAAGTGTTTAACTTCATATTATGTTCCTGCTGTGGGTACTGTTTAATTTACCCACCATGGTTTTAACTTCTTGAAAAACATAATGAAAATTCTAGTTTACGTTCTATTTTGTTTTTTATGCTGGTTTTCAGTTCGCAATGTTTTTTTTTTGTTTTTTTTTTTTGTTTTTTTTCTTTAGAAGTTTTATCGTTAAGGATAAGAACCCACATACAGCCATCAAATCGAATTACAGATCTTTGCTTATTTCTATTGTTTTCTTTTCGGGTTTCTATTAATTATGTACTAATTATTATTGTAATTATGTTTTCAAAATTATTATTATCTTGATAGTAGTTTGATAAATTCATCATATCGGGGCCATGTAATTGCGGGCTCATTTTACTGTGCAGTACCGTGTTTGGTCTCCCGTCAGATTTTACAGACGGGGGCAATAGTTTATTCGAGTTTATTTCATACGTTGTAATTGCTGTACTCTGTAAAGTTTGAAAAGTACTTAATAAAAAATCATTATGAATATGCCATCGTTGGATTACTTTCGTGTGAGCAAAAGGAAACACAGCCGCTAGATCGCCGAGGCATAAATAACAAGAGAAATCTTGCATAATCGGCATAAACAAGAGAAATCTTGGCTTTGAAATATTCGTGATTCCTTCCCCATGGCCTGAATTTACAACGAATCTTACCTTATGTACGACGTACGTAGGAGTCCTACGTTGGAACCAAACTTCGTAACGGCTTCCGGACATATTTCCGCAATGGCCAATGGTGTAATGCTGTCTGTTGCGCCCTCTCCCCTTTTGGCGCCCCTCTCTAAAATTGAACAAATTAGGTGATTTTAGAGGATACGCCGGTAAAATCTCTAAAAAATTGTGTTTCTAGAGCAAAACGCGCAGTTTTGCTAGTACCTCAGTTAAGTTTTTCAAAATTGTCCCACAATCAAACGACAATTTGGCGCCCCCCTAAGATAGCGCCCCCAGCACAGCTGGGTCCCGGTCAGCGGGGCCCTTCGTTAGTTCGTTACGCCACTGCCATGACATGATGACCACTGACCAGACTAATTCATGGCTAAGGCACGCACGGAACAAGTATTGTTACCACAATCAATAATCATGAAGCATGGTAATATAATCGTATTCTTTGGCCGACATTAATATGGTGATAGGCTATTATAATTTGGTATTACGAAGTGAAGGTCAAGAAAATTTCGTGATAGTTGGATATAATTAGGTAATTACTATGCTGCAGCTAGTCACGACCGAGCATATCGTTACGGTCGCATATCGTTACGGTTGGGCAATTCTGCAACTGGGAATTTAACGGGCGTTTATTTACCTTATTGTCGATAATTTGGACGTTGGTGTGATGTGGCCCGTGATAATTCAATGTTGACGCAATCGACCGTATCATTCATAATTTAAGGCGTTCGGTATTCTATCGATTGAATAAATCATGACATCGTTTGTTCTGGTTGGTTCACTGTTCAGCATCTTTTGAATCGATACCATTTTATATGCTTACTATTCCACTATTCTTAACATTCAAATTACGGCTTCTATTCGTTGTATTGCAGTCATACATTTGGAATTTATATCTGAATTTATATCTGGAATTTAACAAACTTCCCACAATAGGATTATGACTACTCCAGCGAGTGGATACTACAGCAACGTTACTTCTGCTAGTTATTCGCTGTACTCGTTCTATTATACCACAGTTACTAAGCCTCCTGCTCACAATGCACAGGGGAGAGGATATACTCTTTCTCCTACAGCTGACAAGGTAAACATTGAGATTTTATAAAACTAAGTTTTTAGATAGTTTGAGATTTTAACTTTAAGAAAGGGGAGATTTCTATCACTGAATGCAAATAAATTGTAGATTTCAAAAACAAGATTATTTAATTACAAAATAATCACACTATACGCAATAACCAAACTGCTATGATATCAATTCAGCAACCAACCTCAAAAGTTGAACGAAATAATCCTACTTGATGTGTTTCAGGTTCTAGCAGTAATACTACCGATATTGTCAATACCGGGCCTCTTTATGAACGTGATAGTGTTATGGAACCTGTTTATCAAGGCAAGCAAACTGAACAGACCTACCCGACAACTACACGGACATCTCGTTATTTCCAATTTCATCCTCCTTATCTTGTGTGTCCCCTCTATATCGTGAGTAATGATAACTTATTTTCGGGTTTTATTCCCTTGAAACCAGGCATAGAATTAGAACGGAAGTCAACATTCAAAATGTAGTGAAATTAGTTACAACTTAGTGACAAATTAGTGACAACTTAACCATCAATATCCTCCTCCGCAGGTTGATACTCTTCAATGGACGAATTGACAATCCTACTCTTGATCAAAGAGTGGAAAACTATGTGCTCAACAACATATTCTGTAATATTAGCGGTTTCGTGTTTAATGTTATGATGAGAATGACAATTCACATCAGTACCGCTCTGGCTGTGGACAGAGTACTTGCAGGTATGATGATCGATTTACAGTGATTTTGTTTGTTGTCACTAATTATTTGGATGATTGCATTTTTTCGTGTTTCTAATAATCTAATAAAAACCAATTGCTTTTCAGTGCAGTTCCCGATATTTCACAAGTTCAAAGTGCAGGTTTATGGTTACAACTGGTTAATTATCATTATCTGGATATTTAATCTGGTTACCATGGCAACGCCTTTCATAGCTGGCAAGTAAGTCTTTCCTCTTAACATTCTCAATATAAAGTGAGATAAAGTGTGATAAAGTAGAAATTAATAAATTTTAGGCAGTATTTTGACCTGTAATTTTAGGTCCATCTCTGTTCTGTATAATGTATATAACTATATGATATTTAGTAGTCACAAGTCTTGCCTAGTTTCATTTCAAGTTATTCTTTACATTTAAGAAAGAAAGTTTAGCTTTCAAATTAAGGACTTATCAGCTTCGTCAGGTGTTATTAAATCTAACCTTAAAAAGCACTTGCTATCCCTCCAAAATCGAGATGACCCTAATACATGGTAACTAATCTATATTATATCTCAAACTCTACATCCGGTACGGCTATGCACACATGATATCTCTCTCTGCCATGAAACATGGCTAACCTTTTAAACTGTGATTCAAAACCTAAAGCTAAACTAAAACTTAACTGGGCTCTCCTTTGTCACCAAACTAAACCAATAAGTAATTTTAGATTATTATATTTTTCTATATTTGTATAATAAGTATATTGACGTAGTGGATGGTTGAGGGGGTTTCAAGCACAGGTCACTCTCAAATCCTAAAGATAAGCAGTGGCCTTCGGCACTTGAAACCTCTTCAAACCTCCCCTGATTTATTTATTATTGATATTGTTTGATTGTGCCGTAAAAATAAATATTTGTTTTATTAAATATTTGTTTTATTATTAAAACATTTTATTGTTTCAGGCAGTATGTGCAAGGTCCGTTTGAATGCGTCTGCAATTGGAGTTTGGATTATGCTGTTTTCTCACGAATCGGAGAGCACGACCATTTCCTGAGGACTCTCGTTGTTCTGTCGTACTTCTTCATTCCATTTACTTTAACCAACCTCCTAACTATTATCTGCTGTATTTGGGTAAGACTTGAATTTTTCATCAATTTATCAAAAATCGAAAATAAAATAATAATCATACTTGTTCCAAAATTGTACGGAAATGATGTTGACTTTAAATTGTATGATATCAAGCTGCATAAATGAAGTCTATGTACGAATGATTTAATGATGTTCGTTATTCAGGTTATAGTTTTACTGCTGAAGAAAAATCTAATATTTACCGTGGAAAAACGGAAGGAAGATCACAAGATCTCAACCAAAGACAACCATCAGTATGAACGTCTGCAATGCATCAAAGAAAATGGACATCCGGTGGATGAGTTAAAAACCAATGGCCACTCAGCTGATTCTCCGACAACAACATCAAACGGAAAACAACCTCAAATCCGTAAAAACAAACCCACAAAAAAATTAACACAATCAACTTCAATATTGAAGTCAATCAAACTGTCAAACGACGCCAAAGTAAAAAGGTTAGTTCAATACCAAATTCACCAACTGGAGATTGTGGCCGGAATTTACGATTATATTAATTTCATTAGTCGTGGATCTCTGTTTTATATAAAGCAATTTACTTCAATAAAGATTTGTTATCACAGGAGATATTGTGGTAATTTCTAAATATAACTGTAATACATTGATTTAAAGTTTATTTGAATTTTGAAATAAACATCATTTAACAAATAACGTCCAGGGCGTGCTACACTATGTTGATAATGATGGCCTTGCAGTTATTATGCTACTCAGTGGTTCAGTTAATGGTTGTTGATCAGCTACTTTTCCATGTCTTCAAGGCTAATTACTTTTATACGGTTGGTGAATATCTCGTTTCCCTGTAGTATTTGACCCGTCGAAAATTCATAATACATAAATTTGTCGAATGTTTTTTAAAATCATTCATTACAACATACTGTTCCTAAGTCTTCTTCAATCTATAATATTAAATTATTCCAAATGAACGCTGAACTGGTTATCCCTCTTTAAACCAACCCTTTCAGCAAATGCGAAAGAATGCTCTGTTAGCCCAGATCTTCGTCAACTACCCGCTTTATCTCATAGGCTTCTCCATCCTCATCCCTGCAGTTATACACTTCAGAATGACGAGAAATAGCCAGAAGAGAAGCGACAGTACCCAAAAGGGATTCAGTACGATCAATTCCTCTATAAACCAGGGGTTGTCCTTTACGTGCTCCAAAATAATCGGCAGATCAAAATCTAAAACTGAAGTTTGATGTTGGGAAAAACTGCTGCCAATTTGGATGGTGTTTATGTCCAAACTCTTATGTTTGAGCTTTGTTAGCTCCAGCTTATGTTTTACATTGAATTTTAAATTTTATCAAGCTGTGCTTCCCTATAATTGTGAGATGCAGGATTTTTTGTCGAGTGTTGTGTTGAAATTCTTTTTTCTAACGACCCTCATGCCTGGGCTTCAGTCACTGAATTTAATCTAGCACTGACACTAAGCTGCATTTTTTAATTCACATCCAGTGGTAACTGGCGATTTTAATGCCATGATATTTAATTGATGTTTAATTGATAGGATGACAGATGTTTTGTTTTGTAAATGAGCGCAAGGTGTAAGCATGTTATGTTCATAAAAACCCAGAATTTTTAGAATATGAGCAATATGAGGTAAATATAACCCCTTACTTTTTCGGTTCAGTAGTGGACTTTTTGGTTCAGATTGTGAATTTACAATTTTAGTCAAACTTTTTATCTTCTAGTTGTGATATGAAAAGAAAACGATCTTGGTTTTTTAACATCCTTGATTGTGAATAAATAATATAATCAACTCAAACTATCATTTCACTACAAAACAGCTGATTTTACCATTTGTATAAAATAACTAAAATTTAATCATTTTTGAACAAATTTAAATAGGAGTAGGACCATTTTACTGGTCAAAGTATCGTTATCTGTACAACTACATAAGATAGAATATTTCTATGGACAAGAAAAAAGAAAGGGTAATGCTAGGGAAATTGGACAAGCTTCATAATAATTATAAACTACATTTGACCGAACCCGCTGACTTTAAAAATCGCTTTCAAACTTCTCTCGTAATTATTTCATCCGTGAGCTAGCTTTAAAATGGCCCAAATCACTTAAAAAGCTGCAGAGAACCGCTGCATGGTCGTTCCGTGTAGGGCAACTGTTTATACTTATAGGCGTCATCTGACGTGATCTGAATGTCTCTTCAAGTTCATGACAACTTATCGATAACACTAGCACACTCCTCATTTACTGCATCAACACTAATGCTGGGGAGCTTGTTCTTCCACTCGTTGATAGAAAGGTACAGTTCGTTCTTATATTCCTTGGTAAGGGGGATGTTGGGAATGTGGGTGGTGTCCAGTAGTTTGTGGTACAGTTGGGAGAGGGAGGAGATGGGACTAGCTGCGATCTTCTTGTAATCGAACACCTGGGGGAGATGTTTAGATTGTTTTTTGTTTTTTTGTTGTCAGTTTGAAGTTTTACCATTTTATGCCATTTTACGCCGCATATTAGAACTGTTTTAAAACTGCAGAAAAAGGGACATTAGGTTTATTGTCAAAGTGTCCCAACTCCAAAGTCGTTTGTTTTGCATGTCATGATGTCAATGTGTCCGTTACAGCCGCACAAACTTACAGGAGCACCAGATGTCAGAACATTTTGTGCTTTACATATATATATATATATATATATATTCTATAAGGCTACAACCCGGACCGTTAGATGGGCTCATTTCGGGCCGGTAAATACCGAATTAAGTTCTCGAATTAGGAGACTCCAACTCGATAATGTTCTCTTATCGTCACGCAATAATATGCAGTGGAGCATAGACCGTAAATTGAAACGATCGTGCGCTACTGGATTTTGTGAGAACCGTTCAATACATGCAATAGCTACGTTGATGAAGTGCCAGTGGCCATAATCTGAATACAATGCAGCTAATTATATTGAAATTAACAAATACTATGCATGAGTTCCTACTAAATGGGTTAGAACTGTGTGAGTGTCTAAAAGTTATAAGATCAGGACCCAAGTAACGTGGTAATGATTTGATACATACTGATAATATTGAGATCTCTACATTTATTGGCCCCAAGAAATGAACATCAATCATTGTTGTTAACCAATGCTATACTGGCCAGAAAATTGTTTGGGCTTTAGTACTTAACCATTGATTTCACATAAATCAGAAGTGTGAGGCAGGATTGACAATTTTAGGAATTTTCTCTTACCTGATACACATTATGAGAGCTTGAGGAGTGGGCAGTGAAGGCATTGACTCTGGCACACAGCTGAGAAGCGAAAACCTGTATCTCTTCCTCCGTGATATCCCCGTTGTCAAGGAGACGGGAGATGATTGCACGTGGGTCTCGGTGCACGTACGCTATCTCCATTGACAGGCTGTCCAGAACCTTGCTGGAGGGGTATTGGTGTCACTTTCTCGGTCAATATCTAACTCCCTGTTATTGATTGATCCAATAACATGCAATTGAATGCTGTTAATCGAGCAAAATAATTTCAGTACATGTATAAATATTAAATTGTATATCCACCAGCGTGCGCTTTTTGCTACAGCTAAGCCATTCCATATATCCAACTCGCCTCGCAGGTGGAAGTGTCGTATAGCACTTGGGCCCTGCGGTCCCTCTGTGCTATACGAAAATATGCAGAGTTGAAAAATACGTATTTTACGAATTTAATAAAATATCAAAAATACGTTAAATACGGCGTATTTTATTTTCGTTGAATAAAATACGTAAAAAGTGTTATTGTACCATTGATTGCTCCAATAAAGTAATAAGTACTATTGCTTTATATAAATTTACGATTTTATCAAAACTCGCGTAGCTCTGTCGTTTTTCACCTCGCATATGACTTCAGAGTACTGGGCATGTGCTATACCAAAGCATTAAAGCGTTGAAGTTAAATAGAAATGTGTCTGAAAAAAATGCAAACGAATGACATAACTTTAGTCTTTGAATGAAATTTCAAGAAAAACGTATTTTAACGTATTTTAACGTATTTTATTTCTAAGCAAAAATACGCAAAATACGGCGTATTTAAAAAATTATCTCACGTACTTTTCAACTCTGAAAATATGTCGTCAGAATGGAAATAAATAAATACAACCTATACATATGGAACAAGGTTCACTGTGTCTATAAAACTTACAGGGACCAGTTTTCAGTAGAGCCCTCTATCACAGCAACATGTTTACTCATGCACTCTTTTTCTAGATTCTCTGTTGTTAAGTTACCAGAGTTGCATTTTCCCTCTGGACAAAACTGTAATAATGGTTATGAGTATCAAGAATATTTCAAATCGGGAATAATTATACTGAAACATGAGCATACAACTACAAGTGATATATGATTTATGTATTATGTAATAGATTTTGTCGAAATTTTCGGCAAACATGATTTTCCATATCAAATTACGATATCCAGAAGTTTTTAAATAATAAGTAAAGACTAAAGAATGACTTATAGAGTTATACTTTTGCCAGTGATTTGGATGATAACGCTGCCCCCGTGTGAGTCTTATAATAATGGACCACATCTTCAGAAATAGTGCAATGAGCTAGTTTCTCAAAATCTTGGGAAGATTTTATTACTGAGCTGATAGAGGGAAGAAAGAAAATGTTCTCGTCGTGGGACATGAGCTTTGCTAACACGTCACTTCCGCCGACTGAGGAATTTGGAGTTTTCAATCACACACGTGGAGGACTAAGAATGTCCTGTTCCTAAAGTATAAATAATGATTGATTCTAAGAAACTGGTGGTGTAACTGTAAAATTAAAACTGATGGGTAACATGATGTATATTTCGTATTGAAATAGTTGAATGCTTGTCCTGGAATGTGGTCTCTAAAACTTACGTTTCTCAGAAACTATCAAAATATGAGTTCTTTTTGAAAGATCAAACTCGTTTTCATCCCTCAAGTTCGCAAGAGCGACCTGAAGCGCTTCATCAGTAGCTTTCTTTTTTAGCTCCCGCTTTTCTACCACTGGATCTTGCAGGTCAGGCTTGTTAAAAGTGTTGACCTTATCTTTATCAGCAGCTACTAACGCCTCATCCTCTTTATCTTGCTTTATATCGCCAGAAACTGACCACTTAGCTTGTTTTAACAAATACCTAGATGATACTTCCGTTAATTTTGTTTTAATCCTATTTATACATCCAACTACTAACCAGTAACCATTAAGTATCATTATAAAGCTATGAAATGCATGATAAAGACTCGAGCCAAAAATCGTGTTATTCGAGGAAGTCCAAGTTATATTTTATAATCATAATGCGTCTTAATGCTTAATGAAAAATATAAAAAGGATCAGTTTAACATTTCTAAGGGTTTCCTTTCATTTAAAAGGTTATGCATGATATATTGATAGAACTTCGTGATAATTGACAAAAGGGATTAGAACCAAAAGAAACATTACTATTACTTACTATAATATTACTATACTATTACTATTAGTATTACTAACTGATTGCAAGAGGGTTACCTGAATTCTTCTTTCAGATCTTCATGTTTTCCATATTGTTCATTTAACTTTATCTCCATGAGATGATTCTCTTTTTTCATTGCTGATATGTCTAGCTTCATCAACCGGACCTGAAAAATGAATAATATGTAGATCGTTGTAAACATTAATAATACTTAGTGGTATAAGCCATCGTTTGAACTTTATGTCGCCTACCTATGTCGTAATTTCAACCTTTGATCTTGTTCTAAAATACCAGTATCAACATTTGTGGTAATAACAAAATGTATGGCATCGAACCAATACAATAAACATGTCTCAGATATCTTCTACGATCTGAGCAATTGATTGACCATTAGTATTCCAGCATACCCAATACCGACGAGTGTGATTTCCTAACATCGAATTTAAGTAGACTGATTCACGATCAATAACAATCTCTGTTGGTAATGCTAACTAATGTCAACCCTGGGCCCGCGTTATCACTAACAATCACTGTTGGTAATGCTAACTAATGTCAACCCCGGGCCCGCGTTATCACTAACAATCACTGTTGGTAATGCTAACTAATGTCAACCCCGGGCCCGCGTTATCACAAACAATCACTGTTGGTAATGCTAACTAATGTCAACCCCGGGCCCGCGTTATCACTAACAATCACTGTTGGTAATGCTAACTAATGTCAACCCCGGGCCCGCGTTATCACTAACAATCACTGTTGGTAATGCTAACTAATGTCAACCCCGGGCCCGCGTTATCACTAACAATCACTGTTGGTAATGCATAATGCTAACTAATGTCAACCCCGGGCCCGCGTTATCACTAACAATCACTGTTGGTAATGCTAACTAATGTCAACCCTGGGCCCGCGTTATCACTAACAATCACTGTTGGTAATGCTAACTAATGTCAACCCTGGGCCCGCGTTATCACTAACAATCACTGTTGGTAATGCTAACTAATGTCAATCCCGGGCCCGCGTTATCACTAACAATCACTGTTGGTAATGCTAACTAATGTCAATCCCGGGCCTGCGTTATCACTAACAATCACTGTTGGTAATGCTAACTAATGTCAACCCTGGGCCCGCGTTATCACTAACAATCACTGTTGGTAATGCTAACTAATGTCAATCCCGGGCCCGCGTTATCACTAACAATCACTGTTGGTAATGCTAACTAATGTCAACCCTGGGCCCGCGTTATCACTAACAATCACTGTTGGTAATGCTAACTAATGTCAATCCCGGGCCTGCGTTATCACTAACAATCACTGTTGGTAATGCTAACTAATGTCAACCCTGGGCCCGCGTTATCACTAACAATCACTGTTGGTAATGCTAACTAATGTCAACCCTGGGCCCGCGTTATCACTAACAATCACTGTTGGTAATGCTAACTAATGTCAACCCCGGGCCCGCGTTATCACTAACAATCACTGTTGGTAATGCTAACTAATGTCAACCCCGGGCCCGCGTTATCACTAACAATCTCTGTCACAGTGCTGGCAAGCACGACCGTTGCATTTATTGTGGGTATACTATGTACCCCATTTACTATTATACCCCCTTTACTATTATACCCCCTTTACTATTATACCCCCTTTGGTACACATTACAAGCCTCTTTCGTGCACGCGAAGCGTGCACTCTGGCCGAAGGCGGCGGCCGAAGGCCGCCGCCTCCGGCAGGAGTTTTTCAGGCATTAAGACTCATCGGAAGTCGTTCAGCAGATTTATTTTTAGTTCAAAACATTCTAATTTGATGTCAAAGATGACAGGAATAAAAAATAGTTATGTTGAGATTTTTAAGAAATTTGCATAAAATACTCGCCAGCACTGTTATACGAAATTCGGTAAAAAACCCAAAATCGCCATATTCAGGTGCCTTAAAAACCATGTTAAAATTGAGTTAGAGATCTGAAATTTTTCAGGGCGTCTAGACGTTGACCAAATCGACTGCAAAAAAAGTTTCAGGTTTCAGGATTATCGGGAAATGGGTTTTCTAGAACCCCTGTTTTACGATAGATTGTCGTGATACATACAGATATACATACATATTATATATATTCAGGGATAGACGCTTTGCCAGTCAATTGTAGCCTGTATTTAATTGTCCATAGATTCAAAAGTATAAAAGATACAGCCATTTCCGACCACAGGTCTTGAAAATAATTGTCTACACTTTAGTTTACATTGTATAAACAAATTATTTGACGTCATGAACACCCCTTGATGACGTCATCAAGTTAACCGTTTTTAAAACTTGATTTTTGACAAAGTAATCACTTTTAAAAATGATTTTACACCATTAAAAAGTAATTGTATTCAAAATCTGAGGAAATTTTTACCTTAGATAATTGTTCAAGCATTCTGAAAATCTACCGGAAAGTTTTTCTAGCTTGCTCCTTCATAAAGATATTCGTCATTGAAGTTTGTGCTTTTTTGAAGAATTATTTTATAAAAACGTCAATTTTGCGATTTAGTATTCTCTGGTGTTGGGCCATGCCTTGGATTGTGGAGCTCAGTTCTGCTTCTTATAGGTATAAATTGTGCATTAGGCTAGTTTTAAAGTTGAAAATCGAAAAGTTGCACACGTGGGGACACGCCCAAATTTATAGAAAATTGCTAAAATCACTGAAAATTGCTGTTTTCGTCATTTTCTGTCAACTTTAGAGTGCCGTTGTGATTACAGTTCTTCTTGAAATACTTTGAAACTTTGCATGCTTATTAAACTATATATAAAACAATTACATGCAAAAATTTAGGGCGGTTCAATATTGGATGCGCACGCAACGTCCGCTCAAAGTTTGCACGTGCGAAAGGTGAGAATTTTGCTCATTCGTGATTTCCAACAAATTCTGCTTTGCCACGACAGTTTAATGTCATTATATATGAATTTAATGCCAACTTGAATGAGTATTAAGTGGCATATTCAGTCAGTGATCGACCGATATGCTTACCTAAACACAAGGAAATGTTTTTAAAGGACAAATTTCGAAATCGTTGAAACTTCCTCCTTATTAATATAATGAAGATATCAGTTTATATTTCGACTTTATAAAGTACCCTGACATTATAATCAAAAAGAGATGATATTTTACCAAAACCCATAATCATGGGTAGAGTGGACCGCTGCCAGTGTCTCTCTTTCCCAAACAAAAGGAAATGATATTAATTTGATTGACCGTTCTCAAATGCAAAATGATACCGAGAATGAAATCGGTCGCTCGCTTTTCCCATTCATTTACAATTGTAACAGATTAAGAAGAACTACCCAAAGGCAGCTGTACTCGGCAATAAAGATTCAATAAACTTCAGCTAATTCAATAAGTAATAACTACCACCCTTACCCCGAAATACTAGGTATCGACCCGAACGCAACCCAAAGAGATTTTTACAGCATCTGATTGATGTAATCAATCGAAACTTATTACAATTCGTAAGCCGTGAATGAATGGGAAAAGCGAGCGACCGATTTCATTCTCGGTATCATTTTGCATTTGAGAACGGTCAATCAAATTAATATCATTTCCTTTTGAGTGGAGTTGGGTTAAAAACATATAAGAGATACGATGATTTAACTTGTAGAAGCTTTCAATAAACATGTGTTAATCGTCGTCAGCTGAATGTGATGTGGTGGACAATGCTTATATGTGATTGAGTGGTGTCAGGGATGGAGGGTGGGGGAGGTGTGGGTGGGAAAGTGAAAATTACAGTACAATGTCAATAAAAATTTAGTCTTCTGTTGAGGTTGAGAAGGAAATGCCAGATGGTCTGGACTTTAAGGATTTGGCAATTTTAGGAAGAATGGGGTCCCAGAGGGAACTACATTTGGGTGCGCGGTCTGTTCTGTTCATAGCTGGTTGTCGTATTTGTATAGCTGCGTGTTCTGTGAGGTCAAGTTGGGAGCGTGAGGTGAGGGATTTGAGGACTTCGATGTTGTTCCAGGAGATGGTGTGGCCGGTGGTCAGGGCATGATGTGCAGGGGCTGATTTGATTCTGTCTGTGGATTCGTCGATGGCGTTGTTGAGTCTGTAACATCGTTCGTGTTCTTTCATGCGGTGGACCAAGGGTCTGTAGGTCTGTCCGGCGTATTTGGAGGGGCACTGTGAGCAGGAAATTTCGTAGATGGTGTTGGGAGTGAGGTGAGTAGGGGGTGTGGTCTTCGTTTTGGTGAGGAGGTTGCGGAGGGAGGTAGCAGAGGAGTGGGTGACTTTGATGTCGTGTTGTCCGAGTATCTTGGAGATGGGTTTGGATAGGGAGGGATGGAAAGGAAGAGAAACACTAAGGGCATGTTCACGGGTCTGTCGGTTGAATGAGGCTAGGGATTGGTGGCGAGAGGGGTTGGTGAATTTCCGTTGTACTTCGTCCATGATGGTGGTGATGCGGTGAGGAGGGAAGCCGTTCTGGAGGCAAACGTGTCGTACTGTCTGGAGTTCGTCGTCAAGGTGTTGGGGTGAGCAGATGTTGTGGGCTCTTCTGGTCAGTGATCGGATGACTGCGTTCTTAGATGAGTTGGTGGTGCAGGAGGAGTACTTGGTGTAGAGGTTGGTGTGGGTGGGTTTTCTGTAGACTGATGTGGATTTGTCAGGGTGGATGAGAACGTCAAGGAAGGGTATAGTTCCGTCTGTAGAGGGATGTTCTTGGGTAAAGTTGAGGTCTTCAGTAAGGGAGTTAAGGAATGTAAGGAAGGATTCTGCGTGGTTTCTGTCTCTGAAAGATCCAAGGCCGTCGTCAACGAAATGGGAGTAAGTGTTCGGAGGGTCAGGACATGAGGATAAAGCTAAGGTCTCGATTTCAGCAAGACGGATTTCAGCTAGTTCAACAATGAGGGGGGATCCCATTGTACCACCTTCGTCTTGGGAGTAGAAGGAGCCGTTGAATTCAAGGTATGAGTTGTCAAGGCAAAAGTTGATAAGGGAGCCTATGGTGGTGGTGGTGACATTGGAGGGAAGACGAGAGGGGTTCTGTTCAAAGGAGGAGATGACAGTTTTGAGGGCTAGGCGCATGTCACAGGAGGTGTACAAGGATTGGACGTCTAAGGAGGCGTGGTAGTGGAAGGAGGGATTGAGAGAGGAGTCGAAGCGATGTTTGAAGTCGGAAGAGTCTTTGAGGCGTAAGGGGTTCTGGGCTAGGGGTTTGAGGAAAGATGCGAGGACTTTGTGGAGGGCTTGGAGGGGGGTGTTGTAGAAGCTGACTACGGGACGGATAGGTGCGCCGGGTTTGTGTATCTTAGGTTGTCCGTAAAGTTGAGGCCATCTAGGATGTAGGTTGCGCATCTTGTGGTATAGGTCGGTCGTGATCTTCTTGTCGGTGTGTAGTTTCTTGAGGACTTTCTGTAGTTTAGTGGTAACGGATTGAGTGGGGTCTTTCGTTAAGAGGGTGTAACTACCTGAGGATAAGTGGTCGGTAACTTTGGTTATGTATTGATCGTGAGTCAGTACAACAGTGGCGTTGCCCTTATCAGCAGGAAGAAATTTCAATTCAGATTTCTTAGATTTTAAAGATTTAAGAGCGGTACGTTGTTGTGGAGTCAAATTGTCGGTGGTCATGTCACGTTTATTGTCAAATTTAGATAATACAGAGGTGACCTGATATGTGGCTGAGGCTTCCATGCCTTCTCCTAGTTGTTTAGTGATATTCTGTATGAGGGGAGCCAGGTCGGGGGTAGGATCTGAGGTGGGTGTCGGGACGAACTTCAGTCCAAGGGAGAGGACGTCAGTTTCAGCTGTGGAGAGGGTCTGTCCAGAGAGGTTGATCACTGTTTTGGCTGTGGTGTCTTTCTTGGGGGTAGGTGAGGTCTTGAGGAGGGGACCATTTCCTTTTGTTTGGGAAAGAGAGACACTGGCAGCGGTCCACTCTACCCATGATTATGGGTTTTGGTAAAATTGGTAATGCTAACTAATGTCAACCCCGGGCCCATTATAATGCGAATATCTCAGTACGGATACCCTACCTAGTTTTATAATTTGTAGTAGTATTACCTGCTCGTCTATGGTGCTCTGATAGACCTCAGCTTGCCATACGAAGAGGGAGCAGACAGCACTGATCAGACCGATAAGAAGTATAGAGTAGAAACAGTTCTTAATACAATTCACTAAACGAGGCATGGTCCTGATAAAGCCCCGTTTTTCTTTGCTGGCAAACCGCCGACGAAACTTGTAATCCGTTGAAATCCGAGAGCTCTACAAGTTGAAGTACAACTTCTTCAAGTCTAACAAAACGAGTTCCCCACAAAGATGTCCGAGTGAAACTGGAAGCAGAGGTAAACTAAAACTAAAAGGAGTGGGTGTACTACAACAGAGGTAGGAGTGTAATAAGCGATGTGTTGTAACTGAAAACAGCCCAGTGTACAGCTCGCCATTGCACAGTCAGCATCCCTCACATCATGGAATCACTGCACTGTACGACGTGCCGTGCGCTGGTCACGAGGTTGTGGCTCTGTGCTCTGGTTGGTCGGTGTGTTGGTCACGTGGTCAGAGTACCATGTGCTGATTGGCTGGTTGCTCTGAGGAGGCGCTCTCATTGGACTATTACTGAGTTACACCGTTTAATCGGGTTCAATTCAAGATTCCTTGGATTAACTGTAGAAACAAAGCTTTTCTGTTTTGATGCTGAGTTTAATTACATTGACAGCAATACAATTGTGTATTTAAGTCTTCATTTGGCATATGGTTCCAAGTCTATCCGGGAAAATGGACAAGGCCGAAAAAGATGCAAAAGGTAAAACATATACTTTGCTGAATGCTCACTACTTAAAGGACTAAACCGATAATAAAACGTCAGAGCCATTCTCAGCAAGTATTAAGACTACAGCTACAGTTATCAACAATTGCTGCTTTCTTCTCGCTAGATCGTATAACTATCACTGTCACAGTCTCACTATCTCATCTCCTGACAGTGATCACAACATGAACAAGCTAAAGCAGCGTGACAACCACTGTACTGACAAGGAACTTGCAGCTGACTTAAGTTTTACTTTCATTAAATCCTATTTACGCATACGCAGTCAATAACTTTAACAAGCTGTAGTCTTACGTTACAACGTTAGCCACGTTATAACTATCGTAAACAATGAGTTCAATAGTAAGCAGGCGAGGTTTTAATAATCACTTGAATAAGTGCTTGAGAGAATCGTCACATGTTCAACAACTGCATTTGTTATTTAGTCGTATCTCTGTGCGTATCGCTGCTTTAGTAGTCAGTGCAGTGATTAGTGATTAGTGATCAAGTTCTACTTTCGCTTCAATTCTCGTTTCATTATACATATTATATAGTTATTATACTCATAGTTCATAGATGTAGAAATTCTCTTCTAGTTTTGCTTCCTTAAGTTTGTAATATTTTGTCATTGTCTTCTAGTAAATAGTAGTAACTGTAGCTCAAAGTCAAAAGTTAAAATGACCTAATAAATAATATTACCATGTTAGTTCATGTCAGAAGCAGAATTCAAGGTCAATGCATTACTCGGAGAGGAAGTGGAAGCTATCCCACGACCGCCACTACGTATTCGACTACAACTCCAAACTTGAGTTGGATTACCAGCGATACAGGAAGTTGAACACTGTTCAGGAGGATGAGGACGAAGCAGAGGAAAAGGAATCACTTCAAAACACTTTATCAACTGATACAGCGGATGACCAAGAGCGCTCCACCGTTTTTCGTGTTTCAAGTTTAAGGGACATAAGTATGGAGACGATCAAAAGTTATGCTTCTTTGCCGAGTTTAATTCAGTCAGTTCTCCGACCAGAGGGCCTCACTATCAGAACCCCCTCACCACAGACAATTGTAACCCCCAAATCTCCAATAAGTCGAACCTTATCAGGGCAATCCCTCCCGCCAGCCTTGAACCCGTTGAGCACATGCCAATATCTCACACCTACCAGACGGACCCTGGTATTGGAAGGGAAGTCAGGAAAAAGGGAATGTACGGTGGCGGACACTAAGAGTGGAGATATAAAATTCTCGTGCATTCCTCGACAGGATGGAGTGGTGTGCCGGAGCTACAAGTCTATGTTGGATATCGTTACTGTTGGCAGAGAAGGCAACTTCGTTGGTATCTATCGATCGATTGATGGCTTTAAAGATGGACTAGTTGCCAGAATCAAAAAAGGACCTTTCGGGAAAGTTAAATATCAGGTTGATTTGATAACACCGACCGAAAAGACTAAGATTATTACATCGATTGCAAGGGAACCAATTCGGAGGACAGCTTTTGTTACTGCAGTTGGTCCAGACGTGCGAGAATCCCTCGTAGTTTCCAAAAAAAAGGCAGGAACTTTTAAAATCATAAACAAAACCACCAAGCTTCGGATAGCTACAATTCAAAAAGATACAAGCTCCAAGAAGGCGGTTAAGTATTGGCTACACTTAGAACCTAATGTAGACAGCTGCTTTGCTTCCATAACTGCGATATTCGCTCTCAGAAAGAAACTATTCGGGGATAATATCCCAGCAATTCTCAAGACTCAGCACACTTTCTTTTCGCAAGGTGAAAGTAAAGTGAAGCCGATTTGAAACCTTCTTGATGACTAAGACTTTGATCGGCCAAATTTAGGGGCATTTAGGATTTTCAAAAGATGAAATCACAAAGAATGCGCCCTAACGATTTGGAGAAATATTAAACAATATTTAAAATGTGATTAATAAAACGGTATTGTATTTACATACAGGAGTCAATAATTTTCTTAATATCGTACTCATCCAAAATGAAAACACTTTTTACAAATTACTTTACATCTAAACGGAAATTCTTTGATTGAGCTGTATTGCATCATTAATACTATAAAAGAACTTAAATGTTGTTATCACATCTTGAATAGATTGAATCTCAAATGAATGACTAAAGCTAACAATTCGAAAACATCTGGAATAACCAGTTTAAAGCAGTAAATTACTGACTCAGATATTGTGTCCAGAAACTGAAGTTCCAGCTTATATATCAAATATTCTGTATCATATTCTATACAGATACCTTGTAGATTCAAGTTCGTTCTGTGCATGCACGGGCGTATTATAACTTAATTCTAAAATAGAGAACAAATAAAGGACTAAACCTAAGATATTCTCGCTTTGCTCACATTATGGAACAAATCTTCGACCGAGACCGTCCTGGAAACTTCTTCTTTTTGGAAGATTTGTCTTTTTTGCTCTTCCCGTTCTTCTTCTTGCTGTCTGATTGAGCAGGTACATGTGGCTGAGCTGGAGGTGACAGTCGTTTGTGTTGAGCTGAAGTTGAAATATCGGTTATTTTGGAAATTTAGGAATCTCAATTAGAATACAACATAACCACTCATATGAAATAAAACACGAAAACATAGCTATTAGCTAGGCGCCCAGAACCAGCAAATAATATAGAAGATAATGTTACCTTTGTGGAGAGATATCCTGTAGGTGCCAGTTATCGCGCTTCTTGGTCCATTCTTAGCGGCCCTCTCAATAACTGAAGACAGTAACTCCTTGGGAATACCTGAAACAGAGATTTAATAAAATCCCGATCTTCTCCTTTCTTTCTTCAAAAAATACGACTATATGACAATCAACCAGTTTCCATTTTCCATCGCAACTCTTTACAAATAAGAACTGTTTATCTATCTCCGATCTCGCTCTGAGACATACCCAATTTGCTGAGCATCTTCTGGGCCTCAATGTCATCGACATCCGTAGGTTCAGTTTCTATCTCTGGCTGCAGAGAGGACAATGGCAAGGATTCTGGGAACTTAGCCCCTGCCAACCAGGTATGTGTTTTCATTTCTGCTATCGATATTCGCTTTTCTGGATCCTCTGATGGAGCATTAATATTTATATCAACTACCTCAAACCAAAAACTCTGAAAATCTTACTATATATAAAGCGAGACGATATATATGGTTCCGTGCCATTTTACTGACACCATGACATCAACTTTAACGCGACCTTCCGCAAAAACCGTAAAAGATATACAACTGAAACTTTTTTGACTGGGTCAAATGCTTTAATGGCCTTCAAATCAGCATGAAAAAATAAAAGATTGGCCAAAGAATAAGAATTTTAGTGCCCAAAATTTGGACTCCCAAGTGGTGTCAAAAACGCGAATTAAATAGGTAATAATTATTTTAGTCTCTCGAGTCTTGACACCACTTTAGGGTTAGACGGGTTCCTGCTAGTACTCTTAATCGGACAACAATTTGCGTTTGACTGGCTTCAAACCAAAATATAGAATTGAAGTGGGAACCAACCTATGAGTATGGCCCTAATGAGGCTAGCAGCATCTTCACTAATATAAGGAGGGATAATGTAAGTTCCCTCCAAAATACACTTCTTTAGTTTCGACACGTTCTCCGCTCTGAACGGCATTCCTCCAGTCAGCATGAAATATAATAGGACACCTGAACAAAAAGTGGGACTTTAAACTACCTTCATTGTTGCGACCACTTCTAAAAAAATGTCTAAACCAACATTTACATACTACTATAGTAGTAGTAGTCACATACAGTCATAACGTATACGTCAAATCAGACTCGTTTAAAATGCATTTATATGAAAAATACAAACGTATAGAAGCCATAGACTCTTACCTAAGGCCCATATATCAACATAAGTGCCAATATAACCAATCTGCTGATCATCCTTAAAAAGCTCTGGAGCAGCATACGGCGGAGATCCACAGAATGTATCCAAAGTTTCATCTTTACAACGAATACTGAACCCAAAGTCACCAACTTTAGCTGTTCCTGAACCGGAGAAGAAAATGTTCTCTGCTTTGATGTCTCTGTGACAAATGTTGCGGGAATGCTGAAATTATCACCGTTAGATAAGTCTGTTGACAATAAGAGTTTATTAACGTAAAGGATATAAATAAAGTCTTGAAGACCTATTTTAACTTTAGCTTATACTTGATTGTTCTATTGGCATTAAGTATTATGTAATAGATATTTATAGTCTCTTGGTGTTCCTTTCAAAGTGTGGTACACATCGCCAGATTTTCAAAAGTAACGAAATTCACACGTACAATTGTTAATTTTCATCGGCATATTGTGAAGGTTTCTAAATTGTGAAGGCAAGCTAAACTGTATTACATGGATCTCGTGATGAATCTATAGGTGGAAGTTTGATTCTTACTGATAGACATATATGATAGACAACACGTTTTGCATCATCGTTCACTTACAGTCTATTTTATTCATGGGTGAAGGTATTTTTCCAAACTTCGGCGCTAAATACTGAAAAAGTTTTGGAAATTTATAAATAAATAGACGCGCCTATTCCGCGCGCGCACAAGCATGCAGCGCGCAAGAAAAGTTGGCGCGTGTGCGTTGGTATCTTCACAATTCATTAGCCGCGCGTAACAGATATCTTTTAATTTGTACTCAGGTGTCCCATTTACCTATCATGTATGGGTATGCTTGAGTTTCAGAGCAACTACAAGTCATGTAATTAATCCCATTCAAAGGCTCACCGCCCAAAATATTCGCTGTACATACTTTTGGGCAGTAAATAGAAAATTGAGTACAATGAACTACAGTTGCTGTACATAAATGAAAATAGTAGATGTGTAATTAGGCCATTTAGCATTACACGCTGCCGAATTTGTGGGCTTATCACTGGGTTAATTATATGATTTAGGTAAACGTCATATTGATGTGGAATGTGGTTGTTTGGTTAACATTCTTCATAGCTAGACTATTCTGGTATTATCTCTCAATTGTCTAGATGTTCATGTAGAAAGGTAAATAAATGGTATAGGTGCATGTAGATAGGGTACACAACAATGAGGGTGCATAACAATAGAAATTATGATTAGTCTACAGATGTAGGGTATTGAATAATTGACAACTGACATGTGACATGTGTATATTATATGTTACTAGAAACCCGCTAGTCGAAAGCTTTGTTCGAGGAAATTTTAAAAATCAGTTATGTTTTAATTTCTCTTCATCATACAGCTCTGTTATACAGTAGACATAATGGAATTTATTTAACAATGGCGACAGCGTTGTTAGTATTCGGATTCCCAAAACGATACTTTTTACCGCATCAAAAAATACCAATCACAACCAAAGTTATGAATATAAGTCATAGCGTGAGCGTAAATGTGAGCTAGTTTTGAAGTTATGACGTAGCATACAGCATAACAACGCGCGTAGTTAAGATGTTCTTGCTCGCGCACGTGCATTTTTATCGTTGCTACGCAACAGCGCAGTAAACCTTTGCTAAAATAACGCCATTATTCTAACGATTATTTAACCTCACTTCCGACGTTAATTATAAAAAATCTAAAGCCTAAATCAAAATTCTAAGAATGCTATAGCCTATTCCTAACCTTTTTCTACAACCCTGCTAAAAATGGCGAGGTTTCAACTCCATTTGCGAGCTGGGTTTGATTTCACCAGAGGGTCATTTTGAGGTCGATTTTCGGTGTTTTTTCTTCTATGTCCCCGTTGCCGGGGAAATTTCGTCAAGTTTAAATTATAGTATAGATATCTTTATTTATCCAGCTTATAATCACAGTTATCAACGCATTATGGTAATAAACACATGTTATTCTGTTGATTCGAATCAATCCCTAAATAATATAACATAATATAACATAATATAACAGAGAACAATTATTACAATTATTTTAGGTAAACTCTTCTAAATATTCTTGTAGACGCTCCTCGATCCAGTATAAGAATTGTTATATAATGTGTAACGATAAAGTATACTTGTAAATTACCATTGATCCCCCCATTTAAAAACTCCCAGATAACAAGCAGGTATTTACTTGGCAAGCTGAGATGTTTAAAAAAACAATCGCCGAATATTCAGTTACATTATAACATTGCAACAGCTACAGTACTGAGTACATTAACGTTATTAACCGCTTACATAGCCCAGCGTGTTTACGCAAACCACCACAAAACATAACGGTGTGTTGTTTAATTTACCCACATGTGCTCTGTCGACGGAGCGTAAAAAGATCTTTGAATGTTCAAGTACAAAGGACGTCATTTCACCTGTTTACTTCGTTCGTCATCTAGCTAGCCCCCATACATTAATATAATACTATACTCGAATATATTCTTTACTGCTAAATGACAAACGTCACCAGAACAAATCATTGAAACACCCATTAGCGATAACAATAGGCCTTGACATCATGCAATTCCGCTGGGATCTGATATTTTGCAGAACAAATATGAGATTGGAGTAGCGTGCAGATACACGTCAATCGTGCGTTATTGCTTGGTGGATTTTTTTTGCTTGATACATTCGTAAAGTCAGGGATTGCAATCGGTGAATATTGGAATGCATTCTGATCGGGCTCCAAATTCCAACTTGCTCAAAAGATTAATCACGGTAGACGTGATGAAGTCTTGATTAACCTTGGCGTATATGATAATGGCGATTGTCAAATTATAACAATCACATATTATGGTGTACTAATTATGGCATATTTTCTGTAGTATATTTCTATACGAGAGGATTCTGGAAACATAGGATCAATACAATAATGATTTGTTGGGAGGAACTTTAACAAAACACATGATTTTCTATTGTAAACGATAAAATGTGCGTGTGTGATAATGTGAGTGACTGCGTGTGTGATAATGCACGAGACCTTTGGTTGAACAATCAGCACAGTAAAATATTTCTACCCGATAAAACAGCACATGAGCGGGCCAGGACACTCAACTTTGATTTAATTTCAGTCTTTAGCATTGAATTTAGAAATCAATAATCCATTTAAACCACACAGTAAATTAGTTTGTTGACCATGACAACAGGATTATTAGGTCAGTCGCCCTGGAGATCATTCGAACACTTGTTAACATACAATGAGCTGGCTTATAGGTTAATGTTCAGGTTTATAACTCTTCATTATAGGTTCCCCCAACTAACATCTCATATATTGACGCTCGTGCTCCTACCTTCTCAAATATGTAAGCTAATCGACCTCCTAAATACCCATTTAAAATGACGACGACCAAGCCAATGTCCTAATATAACTGAGTCATGATCACGATTTAATGAGGCCACCCGTGACAACTACGCCATCATTCCAGATATCTTAGATATGGAGAGCTGATTAACAAATGCGTTCAAAAATTTAAGATATTAACACGGGCGAACAGTTGGGAATATTGTGAAGACTTTGTTTGGGATTATCCAGCATCGTTTTCTCGTTAACACATTATACTGATGTGCTAACACACACATTTAACAGATATGACTACTTAGTGATTGAGCAGACAGAGTATAGACGCAACTTTGTTGGCAGTAAATTTCTAAATATTTCACATATTTTACACGGCAGATCAGCTGTCTAAAAATCATAAAAATAATAAACTACTATTCAGTTATGATGTATTTCGGGCCGCATCTGGAAAGTGAAGATGTATGACTTGTTTTTTAATTAGAATAGATATCTCTAAATAATTAGAAGAATGGTGTTAGTTTTAATGAACAGAAAATGCCGCCACCTAATTATTTTCATATAATATTCGCATTAAAACAGGGTTATTAGCAGTACCATATTCAATGTTAATCAATGTATTGTGACGTGGCATTTCAATTAAGAAGCACCCCACACCACTGTTAATACCAGGCGGTACCTGGAATCTTAAATTGGATCATAGAAACAGCCATCAATATAGTGACAGAGTCAATTTGACGCCTCTATAGGTGTCACGCTCCACTTGAGTACATGTGGAGTTACAGAGCTCATACAGATACAATATAATACATTTCACAACTTGTATTATAATAACCGTTACACCGCAATAATATGACAATAATACCAGTCGTACGTGGTGTAGCTCAATAGCTAGATCTACATAATGTAACCTTTGTGCAGAGTTACTATTAAACACAGGTTAATTAGATAGTACGATAACCACCACTAGTACTGCCGCTATTGTACTGACACAACTGTAGTCTGTAGTAGTCTGTAGTACAATGTAAGAGTGCACTATCATGATAAGTGATACATGGTAAAAGTGCACCACAAAAGGACACCCTCTGAAGTGATCAGATAAGTGCACTAGGTATCCTCTACAACATACCAGAGTGATTATATCACAGTAAAGCTGTCTCTACTCTGTAGTATAGTAGTATAGAGCACTATAACGTAGTGTACTATAGTATACCTTATTATATTATTACCTTATTGTATTATTATTATTAATACCTTATTTCCGTATCTGTAAACCACCATGTTCAGTGTTCACCACACACTATAGTCCGTGTTTTATCATCACAGGGTCTGGTGTTTGCTGCTAGTGTGTTTTCAACCAACATGCACAATTCATTTCAATAATTATAACACTCTCATAACATTTCTCTTTTATACTCGGCTGGTGGTACAGCTTTGCAGAGAGTTTTTTAATTAATTTCCAGGGCTCTTTACAAAACTAAAAGAGTGCTTTAAATACTGAACTCTGTTGAGTTTTTTAATTAATTTCCAGGGCTCTTAACAAAACTAAAAGAGTGCTTTAAATACTGAACTCTCTTGTGTACTGGCTGACCCTCATTAGCGGTGGTCAGCGAGTGTAGAGTCAAGTTGGAGTCTTGCTCTGTGGTCAGTCTGATTACGATAGACCTGAGTAAAGGCGGAGTAGGGTTTGTTTTGACACGTGACAGCAATAATGAGGTTTTATTGGTTAAGTCTTCCACCTGATTGGATAATCGCTGTCTCGTGTCAAGTCAAACTTTACCACCTTAGCCGCGTCGATCATAATCTTAAAACCTCAAGAAAAAGTATTATTTTCTCTTTAATCTGTTAACACTATCTTCAACAACTGACATTTTAG